CGTTTCAATTCATCAGAAAGAGATCGAGCTAATTGATTCTGATAGGTTTGAAGTAGGATTTTGCAGCACAATTTTAGTTTTGACCAACGACAATGTTTCGGCAAATTTCGTTTCCGAAGATAGGTTAAGAGTGCGATCTCAAGTAAAGTCAATTTTTATAATAAAAACGTGAAAATTGTACATTAATTTCTAATTATGGGATAGTGTTCTTAAAATTAACTGCTTTCAAAAGTTTATGCAGATTTCATGTTTAATTATTTAAGATTGTTATAATAAATTATATTTTTTACCTGATCATGCCATCGTGACTTCTCTACTGGATAATACTGTAAATAGAATTATATGACAATCGATTTATTTTTTAATTAAAAGATTAAAAGATTAAATTTTACTTTTTCTAATCTTATATTTTGATTTTTGATTTAAAAAATTGTTACAAATAGTTTATTACTATTGATTATTTTAAATTTAATTTATTTATTTTCTCAAAAATATTATCTGAGTAAAAAAAATTGGTTTTTTGTTTTTTATTATTTTTATTATTTTTTATTATTTTTTATTATTTTTTTAAATCATAACCATAAGTTTTTATTAAAAATTAATTTAATATTTAATAGATAATTAAATTATTTAACATAATAATATTTTTTTTTTAGTATTCATAATTAGGTTAGATTATAATTTATTAATCAATTGAAAACATAAGTATATTTTCATTAATGTAATATAATATATACTATAGCTAAGTATTAATTCAAATCTTACTAATTTGTTATAGGCAATAACAACCTTTAAATTTAATCTTAAGAATAATATTTTGCTTTATAATAGACTTTAAATAAAGATTTTTCTAGTTTACTACTTTATTGTTAGTAGATTGTTATTATCAAATGCCTTATCAAGTCACTAAAATATAGAAAACTACAAAAATATAAGTTGAAAAAAAGTGAAGAGGTATATTTAAAAATATCTAAGTAAATTATAAAAAAACAAAGAGAAAAAAAATAATAAAAAATTTTAGCTTCTTTCAAAAATATATTTTTTAAAACTTCTTCTCAATAAAAAATACTTGATTAAAATATTTTTTTTTTCTAACTATCTAAAAACCTATATATTTTTTATCTTAATTTTTTTTATATATATTATTTGAAAAGACTTATTATTTTATAAAAACCTTTACTTTTAAGATATATAATACTTGATCCTAATTTTCTTTGGATAATAATTTTTTATTTATCTATAATAGACAGTTAATTTATAATAAATTTCAGATTTTTATGTGACCCAATAGAAATTAAACCATGTTACTTCAGTATGATATCTTTTAGTAGTTTATATCTAGTTAAAGGAATTTTATTGATAAATATTTTTTATTATTTATAAAATCAATTTTCTAAACAATCTTTTTGTCTTATAATAATGAGAGGATTTTAAAAGTAATAGAATTCTTATTAATTACAATATCTTTTAACAATTTCTAGGGAAATAAATGTATTCTTAATAGAAAGATAAGAGAGAAAATCTTAACTTGAACAAATAGTAATTTTTTCATTATTTGAGAACATATTGCTTATATCTTATTAATCTCATAGAACTTTATTTATAGATTAATTTAATTAAAAAAGTAAAATAGA